AGGAATGACGAGTGTAAAGTGCCTGCTAAAATAACAGCACTGCAGCTGCTTTTCCGTGCGGCTGAATTGAATTTACATGTTGAACTCAGAACAATAACTGGGAGGAGCTGGCTGACGGGAAGCACAAGCGAGGGTGTGAGCGAGCGCACGTGTCAGCACGGAGCTGCTGTTACCAGAGAGACTGATGCAGCTGACACGGCCTCGCAAACCGCTGCAAATGGCAGTGACATCCCTATTCATCCCGAGATGAAGTGCAACAAAGCCCTCGGGCACACCTGATCATCACTTCAACCGGCACAAAGAAAAGTGCTTTGGAGATAACTGCCTTTCAGAAATAATAAAAGGGTTGCTTCGGCTCCCAAGTTGCAATCTATTCTGGAGGAGACTGATTTAGTCTACACACCCTTCACCAGGCATGAATCACGTGGAGCCTAGGCGTTTGGGGTATGAGGAGAGTTCAGGCAATTATGGTATGCATTATAGCGCGGCTTAGTCAGAGATGCTTAATAATCGGCACAGCATCATCGAGTACTTGGCAATACCACTTTTGTGGCCAAACTCTCTCTGTGATGCCCACGGCTTCCACTGAGGCTGGTGGGAATGAGTTGTTGCCTTTCTAAATGCTAACCTCTGATGCAAAGAGGTTTTCTTCTTTTATCCCATCTGTTCTTTGCAAGCTACCCATCTTATCTTCCTATTCCACGTGTGGCCCTAGCCGGCACTGATATCTTTCCTTGGATGGTTACCTGGGAGAGGGAGACAGCAAGTAGCCTTGGGGACCAGCAGTTCCCAATCTGTGGTATGCAGACAACCTGTCAGTGGCACGTGTTAAAAGATTTCTTATAATTACTTTATATGACAAAAAGTTACTGATGGCACTTAAGGTTGTATCGTATGAAATTGGTGGTGCGCGATCTGTCCAAGTTCGGGAACCGCTGGCCTAGGCAATAACGACAACAGACCGGAGCTATGGATCTTTTGGTCCTATTTCTGGCCCTGCTACTGCTACGCGATCTTGGGCAAGTCACCTCATCTCGGTGCATCAATTCCTATCGGTAAAATGGAGCAGCAGCACTGCAGCCGTTCTGCAGTGACCTGCGGAAATGACTTGCACCTCTCCTCCCATTTCAGGGACCCATCACCTGCAAGATCTAACTGAGAGCAGGATTTTGAATGAACAACTTGGAGGAGTAGCGGACACCACGTTGGCAGGCATGCCACAAATGAAGCCCTCCCACCTTGCCACTCTCATCCCCTTCCCCTGCCTGATCCGTCGCTCTTTCTGCTCCCTACCAGATCTGCTGTTCTGCTTCTGCTCCAAATTTTGCTTCGTGCCCAGTCTGCTGCTCAGCTTTTTCCTTTTTCCTCTGCCATGCTGCAGGTTGGCCACCCCTGGCTTAGATCAGGGGCATCAATGATGCATCCTGCAAGCCAGATCCAGCCTCAGAGCCATTTTACCTAGCCCCCTGGGCTCCTGGAGGGGCCAGGAATTCAAGGGGGTGAGTGTGAATAGTGGGGGGGCCTGCTGCTTCATTTCCACCTATGGAGCCCCGTTGGTGATGTGTGCAAGCGGCACACGAGTGAGCGACAGCTACATTAACCCCCGCACCGCTGCCTGTCCTGCTGCCACCTCTGCTGGGTTCAGACCCAGCCTGAGGGCATGGGTGTGTTTGATACTGGTGATGCATTTATAGTGGACCATCCACTCCCATTTCAGTGTTAGAGCACCCAGCAGCATTTCTGCACAAAAGGAAATGAAGAACACCGTAGCCAAGAGAAATTTTCTTCAGGAGAATACAGTCATCCCAGTTAGTACTTGGCCACCATCAGCTCCTGGAAGAAGAGACCAAAAGCTTCATGATCTCTTGGAAGACAACGCAAGGATCCCAGCATCCCTTGGCATGTGGCGGGGGCTGATTCCACATTCAGTGAGCTTTGAGATGAGGACCAAGGTATTAATTAGTATTTTTGAGTATTTCCATTTTCTGCCACAACACGGCTGGCCACCCCTGAACCTGTACCCCCACCCTGATACACACAACCCCACAACCTTCCTCCCTCGTGGTCCAACCTCCAAGCCTCCCCTGAACTTTCCTGGCATAGGACTGCCCTGCACGTGCTGGGACAGAAAGCGGCAGCATGTGTATGTCACAGCGCTGCACCAGGGTTAATTAGCACCACAACAGCAGAGCTAATTAGCCCACCTGCAGCACTGCACTTAGTCATCGCCTGCTTCCTATGCAGACCTAGTAGTAATGGAGCAGCCTGGCATCAGGAATGGGGGTGAGAACTCAATGGCAGCTCTGAACATTTGGGTTTTATTCCTGACCTGTAGGCTACTCCAAGGCAAAGCTCTTCCTCTCTGTGCCTCCACTTCCCCATCTGCAAAAGGGGGACAGCAACAGCAATCCTCCTCTGCCAAGTGCTTCAAGAATTACAGAGCTAGGTCTTATCAACAGCCACTCAAGTAACATTTAGCCATGCACCTGCCCAACTTCCAAGTACATTGCTCCATTGCAACAGTGATGAGGCTCTCGACAGCATACAAGAGAGATGGCAGTGCCTTGTGGCGGGGGGAAGATGAGCAACAGCTTTGTGAGTTGGCAATAAAGCCTTGCAATGCTGCAAGAGACTGCGTCCAGTACTGTGTTAAAATACTGGATACTGCGTCCAGTTCTGGGCACCGCACTTTAACAAGGATGTGGACAAGGTTGTGGGAGTCCAAAGAAGAGCCACCTATATGGTCAGAGTCTTACTTGGCAAGCCATTCCAGGAAAGGCTGAGGGATCTGGGACTCTTCAGCCTGAGGACAAGGAGGCTGAGAGGGGACTGGTAGCAGCTTCCTGCTACGCTAGGGGACTACATCAAGGGCTCGGTGAGCAACTGTGCAGCAGGGCACTGGAGGGGAAAACGAGGAGTAATGGCCACAAACTCCTGGAAGATCTGTTCAAGCTCAACATTAGGAAAAACTTCTTCACAGTCAGGATGTCCAGACTGTGGAATAAGCTCCCTCCAGAGGTGGTGCAATCAGCTACCCTGGAAATCTTCAAGAAGAGCCTACACAATCACCTTGCTGGGGTCACTTAGCCCCCAGTTGTCTTTCCTGCTTGGTGCAGGGTGCTGGACCCGATGATCTTCTGAGGTCCCTTCCGGCCTTACAGTGTATGAATCTATGAAAATAAATGGCAGACCCTGAGACCTGGACAGCCCCATCCTGTCTTGAGAAACCCCAGATAGGGCAATTTCACCTCACCGCGCCTCTGCGTCAACGTTCCCACGATCGAAACACATGGACGCTCAAGATTTTCCAAGGTCTTTTTCCCTGCCAATAAGGCTATTTCTCATAGTGGCTGGATAAATCAAGTGCAAAAATGGATTGTGTTTAGTGGGGAGGCTGATGTACTAAAGCCATCAGTTCACAACTGCAGCTCTCCGAGCGTGCTTGCTGTTGCCGCAGCTAATAGTCACTGCAGTGCCCCCCACACCCCTCCAATGTGTCCAGGTGGCAGGGAGAAGTGCATGTCACCTCCTCTCCCTAAGCCCCACATCTCCATTTTGCATTCAAATACGAGGCCTGGGCTCTACGAAGTTCTGGCGAGTCCTGCAGCCCCTGCAACCCTTTTCCGTACCCACCGCTGCTTGCCTGCCCATGGTTTAGACTCTACACTGCGCTGAAACCAGGAGGATGCCTGGAACTCCACTTCCCATCCATCAGCCAGGAGTCCAGCTCCATCACCCCTATAACCAAGCATTCAGGAGACCTGCTCGCCTCTGGAAGCAAAAGAAGCTCATTTTCCAGATGACCACCTAGTTCACCAACAAAGCGGGGGGGGTCCACTTTCCACTTGGTCTCTCCACAGCCCCCAAACTGCTGGAAAACCCACCCCACCTCCATCAATGGTGCTGCGGTGAGTGACTCCTCATGGCAGCAGTGGTGCAGCAGGTCAGCAACCTCAGTTGAGGTACTTAGGATATGGAGCATGGTGGGCGGAGGGGTACTAAGTGAAAGGGAATAAGGCAAAAGAAGCGGCAATGGATTTGGGATGGGGGGAAAGTATGAAGATGGAGTATTGTGCGGGGAAGTGGGGAAAATATCCAACCTAGGGCATATCATACGTAGGACAGGAAACCTCTCTGAAGGAACCCCTGCTTAAAATTTTGGCAGTAAAGAATTTAAATTATTCCTCCACGGGTATGTCTATTATTTACAACCAACCTCAGTGCACCGTCACCGTGCCGTTCAGACCTCACCGCAGGCAAATTTAGGCGCTGTCTGCATATTCTTCATTTTGTGTTGCTTACCAGTATCCAGATGGGAAAAGGCACCTTGCTGAGGATATGCGAGCTATCGGATGTGACAGACTGAACGCCAGCGCACCACAGGATGGAGTAAAGCCAAGCCTCATTCACAGTGTAGAGATTAGTGCTCAGATTCGCTGTGGCATATTCCCTGTTGAGAAAAAATAGAGCAACACATTAATATCCATGAAAGGCTTATGAGCATCGAGTGCCACAGGTCAGTGGCTACAGCGAGACAGCTGCAGAGGGAGATGAGAGTCATCTCACAAACAGCCTGATTTGGCTAGACTGTAAATTGGATGAAGGTCATTTAAAAGTGAGCCTGTCCTATTAAGATATGTAACATCATGGCAATTTAATACTTTGATCTTAAAGGCTTCCTTGGCTCTACCGAACCAGTCTACCCAGACCAGAACCCAGCTTAGGCATACAAGTGCTGGCACCATTCCTGTTTGCATACTGTACCTTCAGGGTTTGGTTTGGTTTGGTTTGGTTTTTTTTGAAGACTACCTAATTGCAGTGATGTAAGTGGTTTTAGCTGCATATAACACTGTGTAGGAGGTCCACTAAATTAAAGTCAAGTCCACTCTCACCACCACCTGCTCAGCTCCATGAGATTTATGGGGATATAGTTTGCAATGTCAAATGGATTTGGAGTGGGGGGAAAGTATGAAGATGGAGTTCAATGTGCAGAAGAGAGAAACATATCCATCCTAGGGAATATCATGACATTTGGCAAGTTAGGATGTTATGCCTTGTGCTGTATCAAGGTTGACCATGTAGTCTGGCCAAGAGATTCAAGAATGGATTTGTATAAGAATTAGAGTCATAGAAAACGAGGGTGGGAAGGGACCTCAGGAGGTCACATCTAGTCCAACCACCTGCTCAAAGCAGGACCAGCCCCAACTAGATCTTCCCAGCCAAAGCTTTGTCTAGACAAGTCTTGAAAACCTCCAAGGATGGAGAGTCCACCACCTATGCTCCACCACCCTACTACTGAGAGAGTTTTTCCTAATGTCTAACCTAAACTTCCCTTGTTGCAACCAGAGCCCATTGCTCCTTGTTCTGTCATCTGCCATCACTGAGAATAATCCAGCTGCATCCTCTTTCAAACCCCCTTTCAGATAGTTGAAGGCTGCTATTCAATCCCATCTCAGTCTTCTCTTCTCTACACTAATTAAGCCCAATCCCCCCAGCCTCTCCTCAAGTCCCTGAACCATTTTTGTTGTCCTCTTCTGGACTCTCTCCAACCAGTCCACATCCTTTCTGTAGTGGGAGGCCCAAAACTGGACACAGGACTCCAGATGTGGCCTCACCAGTGCTGAATAGAGGGGAATAATCACTTCCCTTGACCTACTGGCAACGCTCCTGCCATTGCAGCCCAGGATGCCGTTAGCCTTCTTGGCAACAAGGGCACACTGCTGGCTCCTATTCAGCTTCTTGTCCCCTGTCCCCACCAGGTCCTTTTCTGCAGAGCTGCTGCCCACCCAGTCAGCACCGGTGCATGGGATTGCTCCCTCCTAAGTGCAGGACTTTGCACTTGTCCTTGTTGAACCTCATGAGATTTCTTTTGGCCCAATCCTCCAATTGGTCTAGGTCTCTCTGAATCCTAGCCCTACCCTCCAGTGTATCCACTATTCCCCCCCAGCTTGGTGTCATCTGCAAACTTGCTGAGGGTGCGCTCCATCCCATCTTCCAGGTTGTTGATGAAGACATTGAACAAAACCAGACCAAGGACCGACCTCTGGCCCACTCCACTTGATACTGGCTGCCAACTAGACATTGAGCTATCGATTGCTACCCTCTGAGCTCCAGCCAGTTTTCTATCCACTTGTTCCGGATTTGTTTCAGACAATGAATTTGTTCAGATAGGGGTGATCCTGCCTCAGGTAGAGGGTTGGTGCAGATGACCTCTGGAGGTCCCTTTCAGCCCCACTTTTTTATGATTCTATGAAAGTTTGTTTAATCCACTCCAGTAGTTTCTGAGTTAATGATTCTGGTGTCGGGACCTGGCAATGTTCGGCTGAGTCCCTTCAGGGCCTCCAGTTTACAAGCAATTCTGAAGTGGGAGGTTTGATTTCGAGGGCACAGAATAGAGACAGGACAATTATACAGACCATCTCACAACATCCAAGTAAGTATCCTTCTCTCTGATTCTCCCAGAGATGGACACAATGAAAGAACGGGCAGGATTGATCCCTCTCCCCCTTAAAAAACAGAGTTTAAGTTCCAAAAAGTTGCCTTGAGAAACATGGTACCGAACCCTAAAAAAATAGCAAGGCCTCCTTCCACTGGAGACATCCCTTACTTAAAGATCAGCAATTAAGATCATCTGCATACATTTTGAACCTCACATGCTGGAGAGAACTAATGCATTTAGTTAATACAAGAGGAAACAAAGTGATTTAAATAGGGTTGCCAAAAGGTCATGTTGAAATTTGTGAATGTTCTCCCCACCCTCCAAAAAAGCACTTTCTGAAAGAAACAGGAATGTTGCAGTAATGAAAATCCAACGGCAGATGAATGAGACCCGAAGGCTGCTAAGCAGGTTGAAACGGTGCCTGGATGTACTTTGCCTGAAAAGCCTACATTTCCTCTGAAGACGATAATGGCTAATATTTATTATTTCAAAAAGGATCATTTAATGATGCCACATACTGGATGCAAATGTAAAAAAGTTATTAAAATGAATCCCACTCTCCATGAACTTTCATGATCCCCACTTGGAAGTGGGACAGACTATTTGAGTATAAAGGTTTTCTCTCCCACTGGATGATCCCACAGGTAACACATGGGCAACATCTATTACTTAATGCCCATTACTGTTCCCAAAATTAAGGTGGTTATCCAGGGTTACTTCCTGTCTAGATTTTCACGCCATCGCCCCGGTTTAGCTAGTAGTGTCCCTTGCCATGTTTTTAAAGTCAAAAGTCACGAACAGCTATCAGGAAAGTTTTTCCGGACCACAAGAAATCCTATCAAAATGTGTCGGTTTTTAGCGATCAAGGAATCATCATTACCAAGATCTCCTACAGGACATCACTACCAAGTGTCCTAGAGGACAATATTTTAAAATGAAGCACCTTATGCTGAGTCTTTAATTACTGGACTAATAATTACCATAAACACCACTACTACCACAAATGTATTGATCCAAATCCAGGACAACCCTGAATTTAAGATGACCCCCCAATAATTAGATTCTGTACGTGGAAAAATTATAAAATTATTAGAGCACCATCTTAACTTTGTTCCCCCGACCCCCACCACTGCAGCGGGGCAGGAAGTGAGTGGGGGGGGCAGGTGGTGTGGAGAGATTCAGCAGCTTGCTTT